ATGTATAACACATCAAAAATTTTGATACAGGAGGTGCGAAGAATTAATAAACAAAATACAAATTTACGGGACAAATTTCAGCAGAGCATCAAATGTGCTGAAAAATTCTCTTGTATTCCAGTGACGTTAAATTTGAGGGCAAGTCATAAAATGCCAATTGAGAGACAATCCCCTCTTAAAATTATAGTTAAATGTAAGACTGCTAAAACTTTAAGGGAGGCTAGGGAAATCGCTATCGAGGAAGAAACCTTAGCAAATTCATTTGAGCATCAATATTCAAAACCTGGTCCATCCATAAATCCATTTCCTACATCATATAAAATAAAAACTGAATTAGTATGCAATTATTGCAAAAAGGTTGGTCACCAAATTAAGGATTGTAGGAAACGAATATTTAAAGAACAACGAAAATATAAAAAATAGTGCAGATAGAGCTCCAGAACCTGGAACTAGTAAGGGTAGCGAATTAAAGCAAGCTAATCTTCTTGTATAGAACAAACTCTAATCATAAAATTCTTGAATATTGTTGTAAACATCACTTATATAAGTGAAATAAGCATGTAATTATGAATTTGGAAAATGCGTGTTCATGCTGTAATATTGCAGTTGCCTTTGACAAGATGGTGACATGTATTTCGTGCAAAACAAAGTTTAAGTATTCATGCGTGAACTTGAGCTTGGCTGATGTTCGAGCAATATCATCAAAAAAAGGAATAATGTGGAATTGCAATTCATGTGCTAATCTCGGTAATGACCTGAATGATATCAAGAGTATGTTAATGCAGCTACAACGAGAAGTTGCTGCACTAAAAGATCATAGGTCTTGCAACAATAATATTCTGGATGATGAACAATTTGAAGCATTAGTTCAAGAGACTTCTGAACGCAATAAACGTTCATATAATATCATAATATATAACGCCAAAGAGCCTCTTAATGACGTAAACAATTATGATAAAAGTGTTGATACTAACATGATTAACAATATATTTGAAGCTTCATTAGGAGTACCTTGTGTTCCGTCGAGCTTCGAACTATATAGATTGGGTAAATTTGATTCAAAAAGGACTAAGCCAAGACCGCTTAAAGTTATCTTCAAGGATAATAACTTACCAAAGAAAATTTTGTTCAACTGCAAGAAAATTAAGGATAATGTCCACTTCAAGAATTTGATTATCAGTGAGGATCGGACACCAAGGCAACAACTTTATTATCAAAGACTGAAAGCTCAGCTACTTGAACGCGAGAAAAAAGGTGAAGTTAATCTTAAAATTAAATACATTAATGGCGTTCCTCGAATTGTTTCTTTAAACTAATTTCGCCCACAGATAGTAATGTCTTTACATGTTACTATCAAAATGTTCGTTGACTCAACACTAAAATTTCCGACTGCCTGCTCGCATCTAGTTATCTTGATTATGATTTCGTCGCTTTTTCTGAAACATGGCTTAGGAACGATGTTCACAACTCTGAATTCTTTTGCGACAGTTTCAATGTTTTCAGATGTGATAGAACTTATGGTATCAACAATAAATATCGTGGTGGTGGTGTACTTCTTGCAGTTAAAAAATATATTACTTGTGAACTTTTGAAATTGAACTTTATTTGTGAATCGCTTCCAATGATTGATATTGTTGGCTGCAAGTGTATCCTCAAGAATTCAAGCATATTAGTATTGACCGTTTACGTTCCACCTGATGTATCTACTGAGAATTTTGAAGCTTTCCTTGATCTACTAGAATCTTATGTTTCAGACAAAAATGTTTTAATTATTGGTGATTTCATTGTTACACATTTCGATCAATTATCTCATAATCTTACTAATGCAAAATGTAACTTTATCTATAATTTTATTAATTTATCTGGTCTCAACCAATATAATTCTGTTATCAATATCAGTGGCAGATTGTTGGATTTAGTGTTTTGTTCTTACTTTTGCAACATAATTCATGATACCGAACCCCTTTTACCTGAGGACAATTATCATCCTGCTCTTTATATTTCTGTTTCCCTTACATCTTCTTTTTCCACACCCAATACTTTGCAATTTAATAAAAATAACTATCATTACAATTTCCACAAAGCGGATTATCTTAATCTTTACAGGGAAATTTTAAATACATCGTGGAGTTCTTTGTATACATGTTCTGACATTAATGATGCATGTGATCTTTTTTACGCTACAATTTATAGCTTATTAGATAAATTTGTTCCTAAAACAAAGAAATTTTCTTCCAATAAATTTAAGCCTTGGTTTAATTCTGATATTATTAGAAACCTCCGTATGAAGAAATACTATCATAATAAATACAAGTTAACCAATATCACTTTCTATTATGAAAATTTTAAATTGTACAGGAAATTAATAAAAATACTTATGAAAGATGCCTATAATTCATATATTATTGACGTTGAAAATTCTCTATCGCTTAATCCTAAATATTTTTGGTCTTTTTTGCGTAATAAAACTGCTTCTAATATTATTCCTAATAGATTGTGCTATCTAGACAAATATTATGATTCTCCTGATGCTATTGTTGATGCATTTAATTCTTACTTTATTAGTGTTTATCAGCCTAAACTTGACATACCCATTTTATTTGATCATAATGATAGAATCATGATTGATGTAGGTGAAATTGATTCTAGTACTGTGCAACATGCAATAGCAAGTTTTAAGAACTCCAAAATATTTGGTTTCGATGGTATTCCATCTTTCTTTATACGTGATTGCTCATCTACTCTATCTGATCCACTTGCATTTTTATTTAATCTATCTTTGCGTACAAACACTTTTCCAAATTGTTGGAAAATTGCACGATTAGTTCCAACTTTTAAACAAGGTGTTACATCAAACATTACTAATTACAGGCCGATATCATTATTATCAAACTTTGCTAAGGTATTTGAAAAAATTATTTATAGAGAACTAATTCCTTCTGTTAGAACTTTAATTTCTATTAATCAACATGGTTTCATGCCTGCCCGTTCAACGATAACAAATTTAATTTGTATTAAACAATATATAGCTGAGAATCTTGACATCAATGGACAAGTTGACGTTATTTACACTGATTTCAGTAAAGCTTTTGATAAAATTGATCATAACATTCTCCTTACTAAATTATCTAAGATTGGTCTTAATTCTTCACTTATTCACTTTTTCAAAAGTTATCTTCATAATCGCAAGCAGTTTGTCTTTCTTAATGGATTCTTGAGCAACATTGAAAATATTAGTTCAGGAGTTCCTCAGGGATCCATTCTTGGTCCACTATTATTTATTATTTTTATTAATGACATTTCTGATACTATTACCTGTCCACATTTATTATTTGCAGATGATCTGAAACTATATCTCAAAATAAATTCTATTGATGACTGCTTATTATTACCCATGTAGAAATTAATATGGTCTGAATCTACAAGCAATATAAAATCTACATTGGTCAAATTTGAAACCAATATCGGCTGGTCATAAAAATTGAACATTTTTAATATTGAGGCCATATAGGTAAACCAACATTGGTCTATATTGGTCTATATTTGGAAATTTGGAACCAATGTTGCCTACAAATTGTTGAATGTTGGTAAGGTAATATACAATTAGACAGAGAGCTGGTGAAAATTTTGAATTATTAATTATTGAATTATTAAATTATTCTGAAACTTATAACTGATGTTGAAATATTACACAAATATTTGAAGATTTGAAGTTGAAATAATATAACGCATAAATCAATGTCATTTATTTAACAATAAAACACCTGAAATTTATTTATTTATTTATTTATTTATTTCTGAAATGAACATATACGTAAATTTATTAAGAATGTTTTTGTGGAAATTCATTTATTAAATATAAACAATGATACAAATATATAACTGCATTAAAAATATGATTATTTATAAAACACAAAAGTGTCATAAATATTGATTATTTTTTTAATAGATATTTATTAATACATATCAAGTAAACTTTTTTTATAACAATAACAAAAGCAAATAAACTTTCCTATTTATAACATCATCACTCGATAAAACATTTCACAGCATCTGAACATATTTTATTTGTTGTTAATATATTTATTATCCATTATGAAATATTTATTTCATCGTCTAGAACAGTCATTGGAAAACCTACCTTACATTTGATATATATCAAGTAAATTATAATCGAATAATTATTCGATTATAATTTACGTGATATATATCAAATGTAAGGTAGGTAAAGTAATAAAAGTAATAAATGCAAATTAACTTAACTATTTATAACATCATCACTCGATAAAACATTTCACAGCATCTGAACATATTTTATTTGTTGTTAATATATTTATTATCCATTATGAAATATTTATTTCATCGTCTAGAACAGTCATTGGAAAACCTACCTTACATTTGATATATATCAAGTAAATTATAATCGAATAATTATTCGATTATAATTTACGTGATATATATCAAATGTAAGATAGGTAAAGTAATAAAAGTAATAAATGCAAATTAACTTAACTATTTATAACATCATCACTCGATAAAACATTTCACAGCATCTGAACATATTTTATTTGTTGTTAATATATTTATTATCCATTATGAAATATTTATTTCATCGTCTAGAACAGTGACTGGGAAACTTTTTCAATCATAACCCCAAAATATTTTTGTCCAAGTTTGTATTGTCATCTGAAACCTCGTATTCCTTGTTAATAAATTTATAATATATCATTATATATTATCAATATGAATAATTTATGAAAGCGTTAAAATAAGATTGTAAAATGCACTCGACTCTACTTTTACCTTAAAAAATAATGACTTCATATCATAGTCTAAAATCTTGCTATGCAAATGTACAGATTTATTGACATTCCACATTGCATTTATTATAATCAAACATTATGACTATTCTGTCAAAATTTATATCTTTCCTTTCTATAACTTATTTAGTTACAAACTTTTGATGAAAAACTTTTCGATAACATTTTACTACTAAGCAAACCAGTTTCTCTATTTTCTGCGCTTACAACAATATTACCTGAAAATAAATAAGAATATGTTTTAAATGCAGAGACATATAATTATATTATAACAAGTATTGTCTTACCTTTTATAAATATGAAAGTGCAGTATGTCTTCACTCAAAAAGATTAGGTTATGTTATATTTTATTATGTTATATTTTATTATATTTCACGTAATATGTACAACTGATTTCTCAATGTGTTTAAACTCCTGATCAATATAAAAATCCTTAGTGAGAAAAAAAAAATTATCTTGCATTTCTTACCATTTTTATTGAAAACTTGCAAATTTTGACATTTCGAATAGCTAGTTTCCGATTATTTATTAGAGATACTAATAATAATGTAGTTAGCAGTAATTATTCTAAAAATAAATAGCTATTAGTTACAATGCATAAACGCATAATTAAGTATTATACTCACCAATAGTAAAAAGAATTCGTCTATTAAAACTAAGGTTATGTTAGATATACATAACTTATTACTTAATCTATCCATCCCAAATCAAATCAGATGACGTAAAATTAAGTTAAACTTTCAAACCTTTGTATTTTAATCCAAAGTAACAACAAAGAAATGAAATATTGTATATTTTTCAGAGACAATGCTTACTTAACCAAACTTGTTTGTGGTATATATTTCGCACCAATGCACATTACACACATTAGAAAACAATGTACACTATAACACTATTACACATTACACATAACTGAAAATATTATTCGATTATTTCCAGCAAAACTAGTATCTTAAAACATACTATAATTAACAATTTTGCATTAAAGGCTAAGGACGCCGTGTGACGCGCGGTGCTTCTTGTGGTATGCGTCATGCATAGAAGCATACAAAGTTCTAGAACCTTATACCTGCTGTTCAGGATAGTGAGTTACTACAACAAGATTGTATATCTTGGTGGTGTAATGGCTAGCGTCGCAGCCTTTTGATTTTGATTTTGGGGTTCAAATCCCAGTCCATTTATTATTATTTTTTTATTTTATAATTGTATGAGTAAATAAAATTAAAGTTTTCAATTAGTTTTATATATATCGGACAGTATTTAAAATAAATTACCCTGTAACATTTATAACTTTTTTATAATGAAAGGAAAACTGAATTTTTATACTATTCTCAACATTTGAGGTTTTCATAAAGAAACCGTATAAAGTATTATACATCATTAGAATCGTCTCAAAATTCTTAGTTTTTCTTCCACATATCACAACTTAGTATTTCAAACGGTTTGGCCTATGGGCGAGTTGCAGTGCTAAAATTCAAGAAAAATTGAAAAATCTGAAAATAATTATACGAACACACATATTGAATTATATATCATTTTATTCGTAATTTTATTCCGCATCTTTCGTCCGAATAAACTTTTTACGTATCTTTTACCTTTTAATTTGTAAGGGTGAATAATTACATGGTTAAATATTTACAGCCATATATATCTGGCGTATGTTGTTTTCGTTCTGTTGAGTCGATAGCTAAGCGCTAGCGTTGCCGACTCTTAACGTCGTAGTCTCGGGTTCGATCCCAGATAAGATTTTTGTTTTTCATTTTAAATATAATAACAATAATTATGATTGAGGAATTTGAGGAAACAATATTTATTATTAATTAACATGCAAACAATATTTAATAGTCAATTATAAAAAATGTTGCATCAATATTCATTTTTTATTTTGAGGACAATATTTATTAGCTTATGATAAAAAATATTGCATAAATATTTATTTTTCAATTTGATGACAATATTTTGTACCCGATGATAAAAAATGTTGCATCAATAATTTCATTTCAATTTGTGGACAATATTTATCAGTCGATGATAAAAAATGTTGCATCAATATTTTTATTTCAATTTGTGAACTATATTTATCAGCCGATGATAAAAAATATTGCATCAATATTTATATTTCACTTTGGGAACAATATTTTGTAGCCGATGATAAAAAAATATTGCATCAATATTTATATTTTAGTTTGAGGACAATATTTATCAGCCCATAATAAAAAAATATTGCATCAATATTTCTATTTTATTTTGAGGACAATATTTATCAGCCGATAATAAAAATATTGCATCAATATTTCTATTTTAGTTTGAGGACAATATTTATCAGCCCATAATAAAAAAAATATTGCATCAATATTTCTATTTTATTTTGAGGACAATATTTATCAGCCGTAATAAAAAATATTGCATCAATATTTCTATTTTAGTTTGAGGACAATATTTATCAGCCCATAATAAAAAAAATATTGCATCAATATTTCTATTTTTTTTGAGGACAATACTTATCAGCCGATAATAAAAAATATTGCATCATATTTCTATTTTAGTTTGAGGACAATATTTATCAGTCGATGATAAAAAAATATTGCATCAATATTTATTTTTCTATTTGGGGACAATATTTATTAGCCGATGATAAAAATATTGCATCAATATTTCTTTTAGTTTGAGACCAATATTGGACAAGGCCATTTATAGAGATTATTGCCTCAATATCGGCTGACGTTGGCCTGATCGATTAGTTGACATCATCACAGAACCGACGTTCGCCGATATTTTTGCAATATAGGCAATCACGGCCACAGAAAACCGATATTGGTAATATATTGTACCGATATTAATTTCTACATGGGTACAGTCTCAACTTGACCTTTTCCAATCTTGGTGTATCTATAACAAATTACATCTAAATATATCAAAGTGCAAGATTCTTAGTTTTACACATAAGCGCGTTCCAATACTTTTTGATTATAAAATTTCTAACACCAGCATTGATAGATGTAATAAAATTTCCGATTTAGGTGTTCTATTTGATTCTGGTTTGTTTTTCACAGATCATGTTACTGATATTTGCAATAGAGCACATCAATCTTTAGGTTTGATACTAAGAAATTGTAAACAATTTAAGTCTACCAATGCACTTCTTTGCATGTACTATTCTATTGTACGTTCAAAATTAGAATACGGTTCGATTATTTGGTATCCTCATCATATCAACAACTCTGATGCGATAGAGAAGGTTCAGCGAAAATTTCTGAAATACCTTTATTATAAAACATATAAAATTTACCCTGAACGTGGCTTTGACCACAACACTTTACTAAAAGAATTTGGTATTCCTTCCCTTGCCTCACGTCGATTTATCTGTACAATTATGTTCTTATTTAAGCTTTGCAATAATTCTATAGACTGTCCTCTTATTCTCAATCAACTATCCTTTAATGTTCCAAGGCTATCTTCGCGTTCACAATTATTTTTCAATTATCCCACCCCTAAATCTAATTCTCTCTTAAATTCGCCAATTTTACTAATGTCCTCTAACTTTAACTTAATTAATAATGAAATAGACATTCACAACACATCACCTAATCAAATAATCTCCATCTGCACAAGTTAATCTTTTTATTTTCTTTCAAATATCTTATTATTTTCTGTTTATAAATATTATTGTTACATTTTGCATTATATGAAATTTTATCTTAGCATTTTATGTTACTAACTATATATTGTAATTTTGTGTATATTTTAATTGTTATTCATTATGTCAAATAATTGTATTTTTGAGTCCTCTTGGAGAAATCTGTGGGCTATATATTTAAATAAATAAATAAATAAATAAATAAACTTCAAATAACTTAGCCTTTGTAAATTTAGAATCGTTAGACACAGTTAGAGACTCGTTGATACTGGAGCAGAAGTTAGTTTAGTCAAGGTTTCGTTAATAGGTGATGAATTAGAGATAAGTCATAAATTAGAGGATAAATTAAATTTGACATAAGTATCAGGGAAAAATGTACAGACTTTAGGTAAGGCATTATTTAGGATTAGATTAGGAAATAAAATAGTTAAACATGTTTTTCATATAGTTAAGGATGATCTTCCTATTAAGAGCGAAGGAATTTTAGGTATGGATTTGTTAAAAACTTTTGGTGGTTCAATCAACATAGTAGATTCTAAATTAAATTTTTGTAACAATACCACATTACTCTTAAAATTCCCGTCTGTAAATTTAAACCCTAGGTCAGAAACCATAAGAGTATCAAGTGGCAGTCTCTTTGACAGAAGCTCATTGTACCGGTTGTGCATGTATTGGTGTGTAAAAACACCGTAAAGTTCGGCGTGTAAATATTCAAGTCTGTCGACCATGCGCATGGTAATATCAGACTTGTCATGTTGTAATCATTGTTAAGCTTCCGCCTTCTCGATCGGTACGAATTTTTTTTTTTCTTGTGAGTAGTGTGATAGTTAGAGGTTAGGCCAGTTTCATTATAATTTTCGGTGAGTGATGTTAATCAATTATAATGTTTATCTTTTATGCTTTTATTTTTTTTCGGTATAGGTAGCATAGGTTACAGCGTTTTTTTTTACTCTTTTTTCTGTGAGTGAACAGTGCGATAGTTTCAGGTTAGGCCAGTTTTATTTTATTTTTCTGTGAGGGGTGTTTATCAGTTCTACTATTTCTATTATTTAGATATAGGTAGCATAGGTTAGAGCGTTTTTTTTTTAACTCTAAGATAGATTAAACAATACGTTCGAATAGGTTAGGTTGCACATTTTTTTACATATAGTTCTAGTTAGTTTACATATAGTTCTTCTACTACATTAGCTTATTGGTAATTTCTTTATTTTATATCGGATTAGTAATTACTTATTTTTATCTAAGATAGGATTTATTTATTCAGGTTAGGTTTGCTTACTAGCTTACTACTTACTAGTCATTTATTCATTTTATATCAATTAAGTATTTCTTATTTCAAATAGGTTTAGCTTTTTCTTTTAAATAGGTTGGGCTCACCTTCCAGATAGGTATTTTTGCATATATAGTTATAGTTCAGTCATTTAGTAGTTTTACCTTAACAGTTTTCCGGTAGTTTTGAAAATTGGTGATTTTATAGATTTTGATGTGATCTTTACGAATTTCAACTTTGCCACCTCGAATTTTTGCCGCTGCCGCCGCTATATTGGAAAAATTGAGTCAAAAATCAGTTTTTCAACGATATCTCCTTTCTGACTCATGTTGCATTAAAATAACTATATACAAAATTAAACTAGACAAAATTTTCTATAATTTATTCAATAACGTTTTTTTCTGTAACATCAATAGTTTTAGCGTACGTGCGCCGCAAAGTTTCTGCTGCTCGCGCCACCATCGGATATTTGGCCGCTCTTTGCACTCGCATTCTCTCTAATAAATATATAATTTCAATAATGAATTAAGCTTTTCTGCTCAGGTCTGGTCTAGAAATAACATAAATTAATCATTTTTGTTT